ACAAAGTGTTTAATGACCGGGCGGGAGACGCGCGATTTCCAGGAGATTATCATTCATTTGCGGGCATCTACTTGGGCATCTGGGAGTCTCTGTGCATTTGCGGGATAACGTTAACGTTAGTCCTGCAACTTCCGGGAGACTTCTGTAACGTCAAATGTCTGATAAAGTGCAAACGCGGTCATTTAAAGACATTAATGTTAACATTCCGACTTTAATGGTTGTCAACACTTAATATAATTCAAGCGTAACTGTTACGTTATCACACGAGTCTATGGACCAACGGAATATGGACGGCCACGAATGAACCAGTTTAAAAGGGCCGCGGTGTTTAAAATAACCAAATTAACGTACACGAATAACAAACAATCATGTTTCAGTCAGGAAGCCTTTTACAAGTAAGCATGTTCATTTACTCACCAGATATGTTTTAGAAACTCTCTAGAGCTCATGGAAACCGTCCTGTGTTGCCGTTAGCATCCGGGCAGAGTAGGCTAACGTTAGGCTGCTCCGGGGATTCCCTCGCTAGTTTGCTTCGAATTAAAGGAGAAGTGTCGATTTTATTTTACAGATGGGTAACAACGCACAAAATAGCATTAAGCGTGACAGAAATGTGTTGAACATGTACAATTGATGTTTTTATGCACTATGTATGCGTGAGCATATGTAAAAACATTCTTGAAAAGAAGTCAATAGTAATGCAGTTAAGCTAGATACGCAAACGACCATGAATGAACCGCAGAAGTTTAAAATTGTCACTCCATTCAAAAGTTATTAACTTAAAAATATGTTTACAACTGTATTTCCTTAAAGAAAGTCAGTAAAATACCAACATTTAGGTAGTTTGACTCACCAGTTGCTGTTCTAAACCTCAGATGGAAAATGGCGTCTGGAAAATTCTTCAGTGACTGGGGCTGCATGAAATCCCGGATGTTGGAAATAACACCACCAAGTGTGGAATAGATAACTCCTTGATTTCGCACTGAATAAAATCAATTTTAACTCTTATTATATTCATTTATCAAAATCTAACTCTTTAACGTCAACACTTTACTCTGAAATGCTTCAACACCGAGAATTTAACTCTGATGAATTTGCTGTGTAGTCACTTTATTCATCAGGGGTCACCACAGCAGAATGAACCACCAACTTATCCAGCATATGTTTTACATAATGGATGCCCTTCCAGCCGCAACCCAGTACTGGAAAACACCCATACACTCGCACACTCATACACTACGGCCAATTTATACCCGATTTACCTATAAAGACTTTGGGGGAAACCGGAGCAAGGGGAAACACAGGGAGAACATGCAAACGCAACAAAGCTGACTCAGCCAATACTCGAACCGGCAACCTTCTTGCTGTGAGGTGATAGTGCGAACCACTGAGCCACCATCTCATTTTTTTAAAGTAAAGTAAATAATTACTTTTTACAGTGCATTCCCCCATCCCTAATTTTATTAAATCATAAATATGATTGCACACTTTTCAAATTAAACCACACAATGATAAGTTATTTCAGAAATGTGGAAAATCTGTTGGCGCCAGTGGTGTAGTGGTTAGTGCGTCGACACATGCACTCTGGTGTTCACGGCGACCCGAGTTTGATTCTGCCCCACGGTCCTATGTCGATCCTTCCCCTCTCTCTGCTCCCCATGCTTTTCTGTCAATTATCCTTACTGTCCTATCTAATAAAGGTGAAAACCCTGATAAAATAATCCTTCTCATAATGTTGCCACATTCATTTCTTGATTGCAAAAAGACAAGAACTGAACACATAGTCTGGAATAGTCTGGATTATAGTGCCAAGGAATGAGGGTTTAGTGGTTGGTTATTTCAAGAGACTGAAGAGAGTTGAATATTTCTACAGTGTGTCATTCTATTGAAATCATAGCTAGATCATATTGTAGATTTAAGTTAAACATAAAGCTTCAGTTGAGTTTGGTGCAGTTGTTCAACATTTCACATAGACGCAGCAATGGACAAATTTAAGCTTTAGAGTGGATGGAGTGAAAAAGAGATAACTCACAATAAAAGTATTGTGAAAAATGGATTAGTGTGTGTGTGTGTGTGTGGCCATGAACAAATGGGTGGAGAAGCCCTGTGGATGGATGAACAGGGGGATGAAAGAATGGAAAGAGGTGAGGAGTGACAATAAGCGTGTCAGAAGGGAGCCTAATGAGGGTTCTGCTCTGGTACAGTGAGGAAGAGTTGGGAGGAGGCAGGAAACACTGCACACATCCTCAGATAGGAAACCTGCCGTTTCTCCGAGGCATCCTGAAGTCAAATACTTTGGAGGCTTTGACACACTCTTTTACACACAAACACACACACACACACACACACTTAATGGCTCAAGTGTAGATTGAGGTTTCCTTGCACTGGCAGACAAATTGTGCAAGCAAACAAACACACACTGTCTAGCCAGATCATTGCTTTACTTCATGTTGCAAATCAGAACCCCATTAAACCTGAAAGGTAATTAAAAATGTTTTATTTTTTGAATAATGAATTGCAATTATAAGTAAGATAAGTATTTGAGGCAACGCAGAGGCGCAGTAGGTAGTGCTGTTGCCTTACAGCAAGAAGGTCGCTGGTTCGAGCCTTGGCAGGGTCAGTTGGCGTTTCTGTGTGGAGTTTGCATGTGCATGCGTTCGCGTGGGTTTCCTCTGGGTGCTCCGATTTCCCCCACAGTCCAAAGACATGCGGTACAGGTGAATTGGATACAGGCTAAATTGTTCGTAGTGTATGAGTGTGTATGGATTTGTCCCAGAAATGGGTGGCAGCTGGAAAGGCATCCGCTGGATAAGTTGGCAGTTCAATCCGCTGTGGAAACCCTGGATTAATAAAGGGACTAAGCCGACAAGAAAATGAATAAGTATTTGATTATAAGCATCATTATACAATATTTTGTGTATTAAAAAGTGTGTGGATTTGTTATTATTATTTTCTTTTTACCTAAAATAATGACTATTGTGTTTTCCAGTGCTGGGATGCAGTTGGAAGAGCATCTGCTGTATAAAACATATGCTGAATAAAACATACACCCCTGATTAATAAAGGGACTAAGCATAAAGAAAATTAATAAATGAATACATCTACATGCCAACTAATTCTAAAGTAAGACTGTTAGGTTGGAGTTAGGGTTAGTGTGAATTGACATGTACTTGCAAAGTTTCTAATAGTCAGTTAAATGTCTGTTAACGAAGCAGTATCAGCAGATTTTAAGCAGGCAATCTACTAATACTGAAATGGACCATCAAAATAAAGTGTTACCATGTCACCTCTTAGAGGACTCTTTACCTTTGTGCTACCTTTATACAAGGAGCTGAAGTTGGTCAGAGCTGGTAAAAAATGTTATTATCAGCATTGTCTTTACACATAATTTTGATAAGGCTGTGTAAAGCATAAGATGTATAAAGATGTCTTATTAAATATATGAATTATATACACTTTATTGGGTACACCTTATTTGTACCAAGTTGGATCCCCTTTTGCCTTCAGAACTACCTTAATCCTTCGTGACATTGATTCAACAAGGAACTGGAAATATTCCTTAGAGATTCTGGTCCATACTGACATGTGGCATCACGCAGTCGCTGTAGATTTTTTAGCTGCACATCCATGATGCAAATCTTCTGTTTTACCACATCTTAAAGGTGATCCATTGGATTCAGATTGGGTCACTTTGGAGGCCCTTTGAGTATAGTGAACTCATTGTCATGTTAAAGAAAACAGTCTGAGATTAATAGGAATTTATGACATGGCGCGTTATCCTGATGGAAGTAGCCTTCAGAAGATGGGTACACTGTGGCCATAAGGGGACGAACTTGGTCATCAACAATACTCAGGTAGGCTGTTGCGTTGACACAATCATCAATTGGTACTAATGGGCCCAAAGTGTGCCGAGAAAATAACCACACACCATTACACCACCACCAGCTTGAACAATCAATACAAGGCAGCATGGATCCATGCTTTCATGTTGTTGACACCAAATTCTGACCCAACCATCTGAATGTCACAGGAGAAATTGAGACTCATCAGACCAGGCAATCTTCTATTGTCCAATTTTAATGAGTCTGTGCCAACTGTAGCCTCTGTTTCCTGTTCTTAGCTGAGAGGAGTGGCACATGTGTGGTCTTCTGCTGCTGTAGCCCATCCGCAAAAGGTTGGACGTGTTGTGCTTTCAGAGATGCTCTTCTGCATACTTCAATTGTAACAAGTGGTTATTTAAGTTACTGTTGCCTTTCTATCATCTTGAACCTGTCTGGCCATTCTCCTCTGACATCAACAAGACATTTGTGCCCACAAAACTGCCGCTCATTGGATTTTCTCTCTTTTTTTAATATATTTTCCCATTCTCTGTAAACCCTAGGGATGGTTGTGTGTAAAAATCCCAGTAGATCAGCAATTTGCACAGGACAGGTGTACCTAATAAAGTGGCCGGTAAGTGTATAAAAGCACTTACTGGTGGGTTTTGTGGATAAGCAATGGTTTGTTTGGATCTCAAGACACATACGTGGTCCCATTATCTGTACTAAATGCTTTTTAGTGAAGTGAAGTAAGGAAGACCCAGGAAGAAGTAAAGAATTTACCCAGTATTTAACCCAAGTATTTGAGAGGACTAACACAATCTGTTTTGCTTGCTGCCCCCTTGTGTTCATATGTAGAACTGTACATTGTAAAACTTTATTCCTGTTTTAAAGCTATATTGTAAAGATGGTTTAGTCAGTCGAGACTAGAGTTCATTGCCTTTATCCGGTTATCAAGTCCGTTCACATGCATAAACTATACAGAAAATGATGCTTTCATTAAATGGAGTTGGACAAAACGTTTAACGTAATTTATCAGATGTTTTATGGTTTGTTTACTTGAATATCTACAGTGGGGAATAACATAAATTTCTTCATTGTGGGTTTGATCGTGGATTATAATTTTACTTGACAGTGTGCAGTCTTCCTGAGCGGAACCTAAAAGATACGGCATTTGTTTCCTTCGGTATCTTCACAGAAGAGGACGATAGGATGCTGCTGCGATGTTTCATATTTTAAGTATAGTTAATATAATATGGCTTTTGTTAGCGCTATGTTTTGGTGCAGCCTTTTGCCTCAATAAGTTTTCAGTGAAACTGCCTAACAGAGTCGAGCACGTGTTCCAGGATTTTATCCGGTATGGAAAAACTAAGGAAAACATCAAACGCGCTAGCTGGCAGCTCGTTTTTGACTTATCAAAGAGGTGATTTGAGATAAGTTAATACGTTTTAAGTAGCGTGTTTGTTATTATATCGTAGTTTGATGTTGTCTTCTGTGTTAATTTCAGGTATTTCTATCATTTCTATGTGGTGTCTGTCATGTGGAATGGGCTCCTCCTACTGTTTTCCATACGGTCTGTCGTAATGTCTGAGGCGTTCCCTGATTGGATCATTGACGTACTTGGGAGTTTGACTGGCAGATCAAGGGGTGCTTGGAACGGTACTTCAAATTGCAATCACAATTTCTTAATTACTTACTTTCCAAATCAGAGATGCCCAAACTAGTTGACTCATGGTAATCTTTGATTTGGCCCACCATCCCATCTGAGAAGACGGAGAATTAAGAGAGGGAGGATGGTTTAGAGTAGGGATGCACAGACTCAGTCCTGGAGAGCCGGTGTCCTACATATTTTAGTTCCAACCCCACCTAAACGAGCGAATCAAGCTCTTTCTAGCATGCTAGAAACTTCCAAGCAAGTGTGTTGACGGAAGTTGGAGCTAAAATATGCAGAACACTGGCCCTCCAGGACTGAGTTTGGGCACCCCTTGGAGACTGTAATTTCAAATTTAATGTAACTTTTTTGTTTGTTTGTTTTATTACTAAGCTACAAAACAGAAAAAAAGCTAACTGAAATATGAAATGTTTTAATGAAATGTAAACAAATAAATTTTGTTTTTTAAGTGTTTTTAAATTAGTGCGCAAATGAAGGCAACAGATTCTGCTTGACTAGTGTATTCAGCATTGATTATAAATGTTTATTTTTTATTGTAATAAGTTATCATTTAAAAATTATACAGCATTAGTTAATATGATTTGAAACAATGTTTGTTTCCCATTTATTTTTAAACTTTCAGGCCATGGCTCTCAATGATATTTGTTTTTTGGCCCTTTAAACGAAAAAGTTCTGTTCTAAACCATAATAACCAGCATTTTGCTATAGACCACAGGTGTCAAACTCGGTTCCAAAAGGGCCGCAGCTCTGCACAGTTTAGTTCCAACCCTAATTAAACACACCTGATCAAACTAATTGAGTAATTCAGGCTTGTTTGAAACCTACAGGTAAGTGTGTTGGAGCAGGGTTGGAACTAAACTGTGCAGGGCTTCGGCCCTCCAGGAATTGAGTTTGACACCCCTGCTATAGACCATTTCAATGTGGTGATGTTATAGACCCATAAACATTTCCTGCTTGTTATCAAATTATTTCAGAACTGTAACAAGAGGCAATTCAATGATAATATCATGTTAAAACAGCTATCATAACATCATTTATCTATATGTGGCTTTTTTTGGAATCTCGGAAGCTATAGAAATAAAAAATGTACAACAAGAAATATGTTGGGACCATTGTTTTCGTTAACATCCCTCAAAATGGTCTATTGAATAGTGATATTATAGTAGCCATCAGTGACTTGTAAAATATAAACAAATGGAACCAGCAAAGCTTCTTGTTTTCACTGAAAGAAAAAAGACAGTTGACAAGATGAAAATGTGAAGGTAATTATTCACCCTCTCATCCAAGGTGTAGTTTTTTTTTTTTTCAGTAAACGTTTAATAATGTTTTTATTTGCAACTGATTGCTACTGGGTGTAAATTAACAAATGAACTATTCTTTTAAGGGAGACCCTGTATTTTTAGTATAATTTTTATTATTATTTATCTTTTGTAGTGTGTTCTGCTGAGTTATAACAAGCTTAAAAACAATTGTGTGTCATTTTCAGAGATACATCTGTCCACTCTGCTTTTACAAGTGCTCCTATGGGTTCATACACTAAGACGACTGTTGGAGTGCCTGTTTGTCAGCGTATTCTCTGATGGTGTGATCAATGTGGTTCAATATGCATTTGGCTTGAGTTATTATATCATACTTGGACTAACTGTGCTGTGTACAAATGATTCTCTTCCACAGTCAGGTTAGTACAGTTTCCTAATTCCAATCCCTTTGTCAAATTGTTTTATGACTAAATTGTACACGCACACGTTTAGTTTTTTAAATGAACTCTTTTAGAATAAAGCATCTTAAAATTTCATCCGGACATTTCCTTGAATTTAAATAACTTTTTGTATATTTGCATTTGCAATTCCAGAGTCAGTTTCTTTCTTTAATCAGCTAACATGGTATCATGTAGTCGGGACTCTTCTCTTCTTCTGGGCCTCATTTCTCCAGCACCAGTCCCTCTCTCTGCTGGCCAAGATGAGGACTGACAGCTCAGGTAGGAAAAAAGCTGTTGGAGATTTCCTTTGAAAAAAGAGAAAAGAATCTTCGCTAATTCAAAGAAAATGTCATTTAAAATGAGTCCTACTACTGTGAATGTAGTGCATTACGTGTATGTTGTACTTACAACAAATGATGTCTTTATCTTATTTTGTTAATATAAGAAGTGGTGATCTAAACACATATGAATGTTCTTGTTTTGCCATTTTATTTTACATTCATTAGGATACAGACAAATGTTTCAGCTCAAAAAATCCTCAGTGTTTTTATCTCATTTTAATGATGATAATTGAAAATATGGCCAATTTTTTTCAGTTTTAGTTTTGCATTTTGCTATATAAACCAAAAGATTTGTCTATGACAGTTTTCAAACTTTTAAATGCCTCAGAATCCCATTTATGTTCAGCTAGGCACCCCAAATCTTTAGTTTCATGTATAGATCTTATTTAGACTACCAAATACACAATTTAGTCTGTGAATTATATATAATAATTAATAAATAAAATATTACATAGGTCTAATGTATGATATATTATCAATTGGACACTTATGCCATTCTATCAGACCACAGAAGAAAATTTCGAATGGCAGGAAAGCGATTACTACCCATTCATACTACTCTCATTCATATTAAACTACTTTATTCAATGCCCAGATGTTCTCCAGCTTTGTTTGGAAGTATTTCCATTGATGAAACTGAAAAAATCATACAATACTCTTTACTCTGTAACTCAGTAAATATTAACTCCTTGAGATATCACAAAACTGGTACATTTATTTTGAGATCATGCTCACATACTGATATTCAAGAAAACAGCACTCTTGCATGTGTGGTATTACTCCACTACATCAGAGTTTATTAAAAAAGACTTTCCGGGATTTTTGTATTATTTGAACTATATTACGTTATTGTTTAAAATGATACAGCATTAGTTAATATGATTTAAAGCAATGTTTCCCATTTATTTTTAAACTTTCAGCCCATGGCTCTCAATGATATTTGGTTTTTGGCCCTTTAAACGAAAATGTTCTGTTCTAAACCATAGTAACCAGCATTTTGCTATAGACCATTTTTAATGTGGTGATGTTATAGACCCATGAACATTTCCTGCTTGTTATTAAATTATTTCAGAACTAACAAGAGGCAATTCAATGAAAATATCATGTTAAAACAGCTATCATAACATCATTTATCTATATGTGGCTTTTTTTGGAATCTCGGAAGCTATAGAAATGAAAAATGTACAACAAGAAATATGTTGGGACCATTGTTTTTGTGGTCTATATTCAAAATGGTCTATAGAACTGATAATAATATAGTAGCCAACAGTGACATATAAAATATAAACAAATGCCACCAGCAAAAGTTTATTAAAAAAACTTTCTGGGATTTTTGTAATATTTGAACTATAATAAGGTTGTTCTAGTCGTATTATAATGCTTTCAGACTCTTAAGATTTTTTGTCTTTTTTGCAGAAAAATGTCAGCTTTGATCAAACCACATATGAAGAGTTGAGATGCGAAAACCTCTAAATGCAATTTGATATTTTTCTCTAAAATTAGCCTGCACACAAGAGTTGCAGAAAAATGCTATGTAAATTTACGTTCATAGTGAAGAATAAGTCTTTTTCATTGCCTTTAAAGTGAAATAACTGAACATAAACAGGAGGCTGAAAAAAATGCAAATTTTTGGACAAGATTTCAGACAGCATTAAGAGGTTTTTGCATCTGAACTTTTTATATAGACAATAATTATATTGCACACTTAAAATAGTGCAAACCAATAGTACAAAGTTTATATATATATATATATATATATATATATATATATATACTATTGTTTATTTATTTCAAATTTGTTTTTTTTTATTCCCTCCATCCATCGATATAGGTAAAGTAGAGACTCTGGCCCACAAGATGCCGTGTGGCGGTTGGTTTGAGCTGGTCTCTTGTCCACATTACCTGGCTGAGCTTCTGATTTATGCTGCCATGTGTGTTTGCTGTGGATGTGCTTCACTAACCTGGTGGATGGTGGTGCTGTACGTTCTCTGTAACCAAGCACTTGCTGCACAGCTCTGTCATGAGTACTACAGGAGCAAGTTTAAGACATATCCACATCACCGAAAAGCTTTCATCCCTTTTGTCCTGTGAACAAAAATACCTTTTATATGGAACTAAATAAATGTAAGAACATCTCAGTTGCAGTCTTTTACTAACTGGAACAGTTGACGCATTGCTCCTGCATGTTTAATGTGTAAAAACAGGGCAAGGATGACCAGGGCAACATGACCGAAATGGACCGTTGCCCTGGCACAGACTTATCTCAGAGGGTTCACCAACTGCTCCTTTAAAGAGACATTATTGTCACGTGCAAGCAGATATCTTAAAGTGGAATTGGTTCCTTTATACCACACTCATATGAACTGTTTGAAGCCAACTTCTCTAAAGTCTTATCATTTTATAAAATCAATAAAAAAATAATAATTCTACCTGCTTCTTGCTACTGCCAATATTTTACTTTATTTGTGTTTACAAATGTATATTTACATATGTACCATACAACATAAACAAAGAAAAAAGGTTAAAATGTCAATGATTAAGCGTTAGTTTTTTCAACAGTTCAAAAAAATAAATAAATAAAATTATTCTGTGTAAAATGTAAATATAAATGGGTATAAAGTTATCAAGTTACAGTAAGTTGTAAATTCTTAGTTTTCATTTTGACTATTTTTATTGTTTACATATTTACAGATATATTTTATTAGTTTTATTTCTAATTTTGATCAAATTTTGAATAATGTGTTTGAGTCATTTAATATTGTGTATTAATATTCGAATAATTATTTAATATAAATAACTACATTTCATACTTATAATACTTAAATTATATGATTATTTATATTAATAACACATTGGATTCTTTATTATTTTATTAATTACATCATTTAATAATAATTTATATTTTACATATTTAATATTTTTCAAACCTTTCTTCGGACCCCCAGGTGGTGTCTCTGCCCCAGTTTATGTACCCCAAACTTTATGTAAACATGATGTCATTCGCACTTCTAACAACAACCTGTATCGACAACCGTTTACACTATCTAAATACATGTCAGAAATGTTCAAATATGCGCACCAACGACAAACCAAACTCATGCTTATGAATAATTCCAGTCTTTGATGAGACGACACGACTATAATCTCTTATTTCCCTTTTGCGTTGCAAGCTCTACCTACCTTGAAGTTGTTTCTTCACACGACAACGAGACTGGCATTTCAACCAATAGCCAGCCTTATTTTCAATGACGTACACTCATCTGTACACGTTTATCTCGCAACCAACCAATCTGGTTGAGTTTTCAAGCGACAAGTTCGTCTTTGCCTTGGCATCGGTCTCTCAGCGATGATGACCACAGTGGGCTAATCAGATAGTAACGACGAAACGTTAATGTAAATAAATTAGCGGATTTATTTACTTAATTTGTAGCGTTTTAACACCGCAGAGGCAGTATTAGCCATCCCTTAATATGCCTCTCCGGGCCGGCGAGCGGCATGGCGGCGGCAGGTTTATATGCTTCCTTGTTTTACTGAGTGTCGTGCTGTTTTCAGCCGGAGTTACAGCAACTCAAGAAGAGAAGAAAGTCATTAATGAGGAGCAGCCCGCAGAGGTACTCGTTTATCATATTCGCTTGATAAAAACATGTAAGGTGTCTTGTGAAACTATAAATGTGTCAAAGAGGAGCTGGTAAATAGGTTAGTGCCATTCAATGGAAACTAGTTTGACTACACTCTCTAATATGTCTTTGTTTATTTGGTTGTATTAAATTAACGACAAGCAGAAATCCTTCAAAACATTATTTACTTAGCATGATCCAGGATTTTTATTGTGATAAATGTGTATTTAACCTCTAAAAAGGATCAAGTGTTTCTTCAGCCTTCAAAAATATGAAGCACAAGAAAAGTTGCCAGTGTTTTATCAGTCAGTGATACACTGATTCATTGAAATGGAACTTTGACACTCTTATATTATGTTACATTAATGATAATTAGGTGCATTAATATCATATAATAGATCCAAAAATATATAACATCAAGACAATGTTGTTAATACTATAATAGAACGTAATACTATATAATAATTAGTTAATAGCTGTCATGATGCTGAATGTATAACTAAACAAAATTACATGTAAGGTTCTTTGAATTTTAATTGCTCTAATTACATCTAATTAATTTGAATAAAATTTTATAGTTTTTTAAAGCTTAGTTTGAGCAAATGAATCTATATCTCCCTCATAAGACTTCATTTGGTTTAATTATGGGGGAATCAGTGTTTCGATCAATCTGGAATAAATGGGAATCATCGCACATGTATAGAAAAAAAAAGTAACATTAAGTAGGCAAACAGTGTGGAAGAATAAGCAATCACACTATACTTTCATGATCAGTTCAGTTTGTACCAACTCATTTTTTAATCATTCATTCATTCATTTTCTTTTTTGTCTTAGTACCTTTATTAATCAGAGGTCGCCACAGCAGAATGAACCACCAACTTATACAGCATATGTTTTACACAGCGTATTCCCCTTCCACCCAACACTGGGAAACATCCCTACACTCTTGCATGTACACGCATTCACTATAGCCAATTGAGCTTGTTTAATTCACCTATAGTGCATGTCTTTGGACTGTGGGGGAAACTGCACCCACACCAACACTGGGAGAACATGCAAACTCCACACAGAAATGCCAACTGGCTTAGTCGGGGCTCGAACCAGTGACCTTCATGCTGTGAGGCGATCGTGCTACCCACTGAGCCACCGTGCCACCCATATATTTTTACTTTATTTAATTAAACGCATTTAATACTGATTTAGCACATTCATGCTTAAATTAGTAAATGTTAAGTTTTTTTCATTAGTTCATACTTTGCATCAGTTATTATGTTACTATGAATTGATCTAACATCAGAATCATAATTTCTGTGCAGGTACAAAAGGGGACCACCGATCATGCACCAGGACCTGCTATCCGCGTCGATGAACCCAATAAGGGAAATTTGGGCTTTATTCATGCCTTTGCGGCAGCCATCTCTGTCATCATTGTCTCTGAACTGGGAGACAAGACGTTCTTCATTGCAGCCATCATGGCTATGCGCTACAATCGGCTCACTGTTTTGGCGGGTGCCATGTTGGCTCTGGGTCTCATGACCTGTCTGTCAGGTAGGTGAAATACAGTTGTTCTGAAGCGTCTGTGCTTTTTTTTAAAATCACAATCAGATGCTGATAATAAAATGATATTCTGATGTCAGAATCCTTTGATTTATGGCTCGTCCAGTTCTCAACAGTTTTATGTAAATATGTTTCACATTTTATCTCATAAGGGTTTCCAAAAAGGTCATTAAAGTGTTTTTGAATCAAAAAATTATGTAAATATTAAGTAATGTTGTTTTTCCTTCACAATTCCACTATTGAACATGATTGTCTTAAGTATAAGTTGAATTAATGCAAATAAATGGGTTCAACAAAAGCATTTACAATTGACTTGCAACCCCATTGCTTACAACTCTCCTCTCAGGAAACAACCACTTTTGTTAGGGAAAAAAAATCAATGGAGTTGTTACCTTAAGATCTTGACTGTTTCCTGGCATGAAATTAAACTAGCCAACTAAATACCTCTCTCAGGTTAACTGAGATTTTTGACTGACCCACCTTCATAGGTCTAGACTTTCTCAGTTGTATCTAGAAAATAAAATGATATAGAAATATCATAAGTGTGATGGTCTATTTATCAATAACGGCAAACAACGGCAAAAAAATGAATATGCGGAAACAAGACAATCCCTACTGACAGTTTCATTTATCTTTAATATGCTGAAAACAATATTTGTTAACGTGTTTAACATTAATTTGTAATGATATAACATAATTTTTTGTATGTTTGTATTCTAGACATACGTTTTGATACTTTTTATATTAGAATCACTAAGTTTCATCTAAAACACAAGCTACAGGTTTTTAAACATGAAAGGTTTAAAACAGGGGTGTCTAAACTCTGTAGGGCCGGTGTCCTGCTTAGTTTAGCTACAACTTCCTTCAACACACCTGTCTGGAAGTTTCTAGTATACCTAGAAAGAGCTATGCAGGACACCAGACCTCCAGTGTAGAGTTTGGACACTCTTGGTTTAAAACATCAGTGTTTCCAAATGTCTTTGTTTTCAAGTATTCCACAGTAGTGTTGATGCCAAGCACAACCACAACAAAAACCACTAGTGTAAATGCAGTGTGTTCAGTCTCTGTTATATCAGGGAAGAGAGGGACATTAATGGCTAAGGATGTCAGTCAGTAGAGATTTTAAAATCTACATATATCTTTTATGTAAAAATAAAAAGCTACTGCTTGTACACCCCAAAGTAGCAAAAACCTGCTTTATTCATGATGCAAATTTTATAGAAAATGTGCATCCTTTCAAAAAAGTTGATACTGGGCTAACAGACTTCTGATAAACAGATGTTTTTGTCTAGACCACTTTATCTGTGTCTTGTAAAATTATTAGTGTTGTTTTTGGTCTGACAGATAATGACTCGCAATTGAACGCTGAGCATGTCTTGCTATACCTAATGACTAATGCATTCACAAAGTGTTCTATCTAACGGTGCTTCTTGTGTAAAATCCTCAGAATGCATGAATGACCTATTTTTCTGTTTGTCCTCCCATTAGTCTTGTTTGGTTACGCCACCACCATTATCCCACGGATCTACACCTACTACATATCGACAGCTCTGTTTGCCATCTTCGGAGTGCGAATGCTGAGGGAGGGATTGAGGATGAGTCCTGACGAAGGGCAAGAGGAGCTGGAGGAGGTCCAGGCTGAGATCAAGAAAAAAGATGAGGAGGTAAAAATCTTTGCAGCTTGTGCCTGTCTAACCTGTCCTGCTTATCTGACCTCTGACTGACTGATTCCGCAGCTTCAGCGCTATAAACTGGCCAATGGTGCACCTGACGTGGAAGCGGGCACAGCGGCGAACATGTTGCCTCAGAGGAAGTGGCCCAGCTTGATTTCACCTATATTCATTCAGGCACTGACGCTCACTTTCCTCGCAGAGTGGGGTGACCGCTCTCAACTGGCCACTATTGTGCTCGCCGCAAGAGAGGTAGAGGAGCGATTTATTTTAAATGATGTATGATGAGCTTGGTTTCTTGTTTGAGTATTATAATGCCTTTTTGTACCCCCCGGCAGTGTATATTAAAATTGCATTAATAAGCATGGGGCTGCTTGTTAATAGCAGTTACAAAGAATATTTTTTTATCTATACAATAATTTATCACATGTTAATTTTATGCAGGCAATTTCAGAAAGTTAAAGTTGGTCCATTTTGGGTTTTATTGTTATTATTATTATTATTATTATTATTCATTCATTCATTTTCCTTCGGGTTAGTATCTCATTTATCAAGGGCAGCCCCAGTGGAATTAACTGCCAACTACTCTGGCATGTATTTTATGTAGCGGATGACTTTCCAGCCACAACCCAGCAGTGTACTGGGAAACACCAAAATAATATGAAATTTAGCAGTTTGAATTGAATCAAAATCTGCTATAAGGTAGCGTCTTTGTTTTTTATTATTGTTATTTTAAATGGCTACAGATAGTTCAGTCTATAATACAGCAAATAAGCGTATATTTAATGTACTAGTTGTATTTTCAATAATTTGTGTCTTTTGAAACATACTTGGCCATAATAAAATCAAGATTGGTGTATCTCTTATGCAAATGTGAACCATTGCCTAATGAAAAATGCACTAATTTGAAAAAAAAAATTGAGTATTGGTTTAAGTGGTTAGTTCAACCAAAAAAATGTAATTTCCTGATACCTTTGTTCATCATTGGAATACAAATCAAGGTGTTTTTAGAATAACTCTTGAGAGCCTCCTCATCCTCCATAGACAGCAAGGTTATTGACTCTTTTAAAGTCCAGAAATAAAATCCTCAAAACAGACCGTATGCTTTTAAGCTACAAGTATCTTTTTGTGTGCACCTAAATAAAAAAAAAAACAACTTGATTAAAGTTTCTTCTCCTCAATATCAGTATAAGGCACACATTCTCAAAAGCATGTAGCGCTGCGGACATATACCTCAGATGTGCCTTTGCTTTGCTTTAAACAGAGGAAGTAGCTGAGGTAAACATCAGTGCTCTTGAAGATGCGCAATATACTGACACTAAGGAGAAGAAACTCAAAGTCATTATTTTTGTTTTTATGTGTGCACTTGTAGCTAATATTCCAGTTGACACATGGACCTTTTGATTTTTGATTTTATTTATTTATTTAATTATTTATTTTTGTATCTTTCTGGACTTTAATGAGGTTTCGACCAGTTAGTATTTATGGAGATGATAGGGCTCTCAAATTTCATCCAGAACATCTTAATTTTTGTTCCGAAGACAGACTAAGGCCTCAAGGGTGTACAACATTTTGCAATTACTTTTTCATTTTTGGGTGAACTAATCCTTTAAATCAGTGTCAGATCAGTGTTTTTCGTTCCGAAGGTTTGAACGGGGGATTTTGGACTCCATAAATCACAAAATTAAGTCAGATATATATTTTTCTTCTTTTTTTCTTTCTTCAGAAATCTACCATTCATCTTTCATTTATTTAAAAAAACTGCCTCTAAAGATGTGTATCATAATTCAAATATACAGATGTAAATATCTAAAATCAACACTTGTTCTTACCACTACATTCCACTTTATGAAATTAGCCCAAAGTCTCAAACATGACCAGCACATGGAGGAAAACAAATTCTTACTTTAAATGCACTACTCATCATCTATCAGCTATCCCTTCAGTTAACTTTGAATAAGCAGTTGGTTTTGTTCTGCAGGATCCATTTGGAGTAGCAGTCGGGGGGACTCTGGGACACTGTCTGTGCACAGGACTGGCTGTTATCGGCGGGAGGATGGTGGCTCAGAAGATCTCCGTCAGAACTGGTGAGACGCATCACTCATTTTACTACTACACTAGAGTACAGGGTGTACTGATACTCTGTGTCTGTACTGTACACACATATGTGCTGATATTTCCTTCTGTTATCTCTACAGTTACAATCATAGGTGGGATCGTTTTCCTGGCCTTCGCCTTCTCCGCCCTCTTTATCAAGCCTGACTCTGGATTCTGATGACCGAAGCGACTCTTGGTCTCATTTTTGTACATACAGTCACTACAGTACAGGCCAGAACTAGAGGAACACAGAGAAACTGGCCAAAACGAACTGCAGATATATTTGAGTGAGTGAATGGAAAATCTGCTCATGTCTTAATGAGCATTTCAGTTTCTTTGGCTTAAACCTTCCGTTGCTCTTGTCTTTCTTTACTGTTTAGTTCTGTTTTTAGGTTATGATTACATTTCTCTGGTTTGCCGGCTAACAATTTACTTGAACCTGCCAGACGTTCATAAATAGTGGCAAATAGTGACATTTTAAATAACAAATCATGAATATCATATGATTTTTACCTCAGTTTGAGCAGTGCACCATGGGTAAGTGGTGGTTTGGTTTCATTCAAATGTAAAACTTGAGTATAACAGCTCTAAAGTTGTATCTTGTCATGACATCTTTCCACTACACAGTTGTAAATCTACTTGCATCTCAGGAGTCTTTATGGGCAAGAGCCTTAGCAATAAAGTCGTAATTCTTTCATTGGTAATGAACTACAGCTCTGAATTGAACACCGAGTATGCTATAGGAACCGGTTTGTCCTTTACCACATTACCAAAGGCTCAAAACGTAAAATGAAATGATGTGAGATCTGATTACATCATCACATGTGGCCTTTGACCCAAGTCCTGATCGTCACAAATGTATTCATGTCACTCCACTGATAACATAGTGTGAATGTTTCCAAAAACGTCTCCGAAGGAAGCACAACTGTACATTTGCAGTCTCTCTTTCAAGAAAGAGTAACTGGATCATTTCTGGAGTTTTCCCCTTTTCCTCTGAATAGTTTTTATTTATTCTAGTGTGGAATACAGGTATTGATTATTTTGTCTTGGTTGAAGAACGTGTACAGTTGAGAAGGGTTCTTGGGGTTTTTTTTGTAACATTTTCAGGATGACTTTGTCAATATTTGACAGGGGTTAACTTGTAAAGTGTGCTGAACTATTATAGAGAAGCTACAGAAATGTTATTCCTGTAAATATTGAATTAAAAGGTCAATCTCAGTTTGATGGATGTTGTTTTTTTTAAATGCGAGCACCTTATTAAATCAAGCAACAGTAGTATTGATTATTCAGGGTTATCAGATCAACAGTAAAATGTCTGGCATTATTCCCATTGGCTAAAAAGTACAGAAAAAAATTATTAATATTGTTTTTAGGATTAATTTACTGCTGAGCTGGGACATCTTTAATAATGCAATTAAGAAATCTTACTTTTTTTTTTCTTCTTAAGCTTTGCGTTTACAAGTAGAAGTAACTTAAGACTAAACATAAGTCAGAAATGTTAAATATAAATGCTCACTGGCCACTTTATTAGGTACACCTCACTAGTGCCGGGTTTGACCCCCTTTTACTTTCAGAACTGCCTTAATCCTTTGTGGCATAGATTCAACAAGGTGAGACATTTTGGTCCATATTGACATGACATCATCACACAGTTGCAGTAGATTTGTCTGCTGCACATCCATGATGCGAATCTCCCGTTACACCATTTTGAGATCTGGTGACTGGAGGCAATTTGAGTACAGTAAACTTATTGTCATGTTCAAAAAACCAGTCTGAGATGATGCGTGCTTTATGACATAGCACATTATCCTGCTGGAAGTAGCCATCAGAAGATGGGTACACTGTGATCATAAATAGATTGACATGGTCAGCAGCAATACTAAGATAGGCTGTGGGTTTACACGATGATCAATGGTAGTAATGGTCCCAAAGTGTGCCAAGAAAATATCCCCCACAGTATTACACCACCACCCGCAGCCTGAACCGTTGAAACAAGGCAGGATGGATCCATGCTTTCATGTTGTTGACGCCAAAATCTGATCCTACCATCCGAATGTAGCAGCAAAAATCGAGAATCCTCAGATCAGGCAACAATTTTCCAGTCTTCAATAGTCCAATTGTGGTGAGCCTGTGTGAACTGTAGCCTCAGTTTCCAACTGTAGCCCATCCGCCTCAAGGTTGGATGTGTTGTGTGTTCAGAAATGCTCTTCTACATTGCTCATTTTTAACGAGTGGTTATTTAAGTTACTGTTGCTTTTCTATCAGCTTGAACGAGTCTGGCCATTCTCCTCTAAACTCTGGCATCAACAAGACATTTATGCCCACAGAACTGCTGCTCACTGGATATTTTATTTTTTTCCGACCCTTCTCTGTAAACCCTAAAGATGGTTGTGCGTGAAAATCCCAGTAACAACAACTTCTGAAATGCTAATGCCAGCCTGTCTGGCACCAACCACCATGCCACATTTAAAGTCACTTAAATCCCCTTTTCTTAAACTGCTTTGAGTTGCTGCCATATGATTGGCTGATTAGAAATTTGCATTAACGAGCAGTTGAACAGGTGTACCTAATAAAGTGAGTGTTTTATCTTAAAGTTACCTTGCAACTTCCACGTATAAAATTTGCAGTTGCAAGATATAAGTCATAATTCACGTTTGTTTTGCTCCACAGAATCTGACAACCAGAAAGAATTTTCAATTGTGCTTGTCATTTTTCCATAAATATCCAAATAAATAAATAAATATATATATATATATATTTAATAAATATATATAAATAAATATATATATATATATATATATATATATATATATATATATATATATATATATATATATATATATATATATATATATATATATATATATATATATATATATATATATATATATATATATATATATATATATATATATATATATATATATATATACTTCGCCTTCGAATGACTATACCGCAACTGTTGTTCGTAGAGGATAGCTACATTTTGGGCATACAAGGAAGGAATGTTTAAATGGTAATTTACTGCTGTTGTCTGCTATTAAAAAAACAAAAGCTATAATCACTCTCGGGAGTTGAAAATGACCTTTTGGTTTGGTTTATTGACATTGATTGCATCAGTGCTGACACTATGGAAAATGCTGTCATTGGAAAAAAATCAAGTGCCCTGTAGATTTAAAAGGTATCTTTCAAGCGTGTATATTTTCATAAGAGCCCAAATATGCAGAAACAAAAACAACCCTGGTATCATTGCATGATCATTCCTTTGAATGCTAAATTACAACAGACCACCAAACAAGTCATCGCAGATTAGTCTTAAGTAAAGGAGGGCTTTGAAAAAAAAAATCTGGTTGAGGAACTTGTTTGGGAGTCATTGTGTAAATAAGGCAACGAAAGTGTTTTTCTTGCCTTGCATGCATATTAGCATGTTCTTGGGAAATCCCAAAACCAAAATAAGAACTTAACGTAATCCATAATAACCTCTATTTAAATTTCTTTTGAAAACTACAAAAAGATTAGAAATTATGGTTTATAAGCAAAACATGGAGAGATTTTCATGGAGACTTATGGTGCTGCTCAGTCAGTCTATGAACATGTATATGTTAAATATGTTACAACTAACTGGTGATGGGCCTGCAGGAGAAGCTGTAAGGGGCCAGTGCATTGTGGAATTAGGTGGTGGTCGAAGGTCAGGACCATGACGACCCAATCCTCAGACACAGAAACTTGCTCTGGGGACATGGAATGTCTCCGCACTGGCAGGGAAGGAGCCTGAGGTTTAACGCTATCGACTAGAGTTGGCGTTCTCACCTCCATCCACAGCGTGGACTCTACAATCTTGAGAAAGGCTGGACTTTCTTCTACTCTGGAGTTGCCCATGGAGAGAGGCTGCGGGCTGGTATGGGTTTCCTTATACTTTCCCAACTTAGCTGGCAAGTTTTGAAGTTGTCCTCAGTGAATTAGAGGATTGTCTCCCTGCATCTTAGGATTAAAGATAAGCCTCTCATGGCATTTTGGGCCAAACACCAGTGCCGAGCAGCCAACCTTCTTGGACTCCTTGACTGCTGGAAAGTGCTCCAGCTGGGGACTCTGTTGTTTTATTTGTGGACTTCAATGGCCATATGGGCAATGGCAGTAATACCTGGAGAAGCATGACTGGGAGGAATGGCCTCCCTGATTTAATGGTGGTGAGTTGGATTAGCTGGCATTGAGACCGAGTAGTCCATGTTCTCAGACTCCTTTGTTTATGTGCCCATGAGAAGCTGTGATGCAACACCTGTGGTGCCTTTTGTGGACACAAACCCGGTGGTGGACACCGATAGTAAGGGATGCTGTCAAGCTGAAGGAGGAGTCTTACCAGGCTTGATTGGCTTGTGGGACTCCAGAGGCATCTGATAGCTACCGACAAGCCAAGTGTGCTGCAGCTCATCTGGTTGCGGAAGCAAAATCCTGGGCCTGGGAACAGACCATGGAGGAAGACTAAAGATTGGCTTTAAAAAGATTCTAGCAAACCATCCGGGGCCTCAGGGTGGGGTAGCAATTCTACACCAACACTGTTTACGGTGAAACTGGGAGCTGTTGACTTGTTGTCAGACGATGATAGTAGATGTTGTCAGACGGTGGAAGAAATACTTTGAGGATCATCTCAATCCCACTGACATGCCTGCTATTGTGGAAGCAGAGACTGGGGATGCATGGGTTCAGACCCTTCACTCAAGCTGATGTTACAGAGTAAGTTTGCAAGCTCCACAATGGCAAAGCAGCAAGGGTGGATGAGATACAGCCTGCGTATCTCAGATCTCTGGATGTTGTGGGGCTGTCTTGGCTGAAGCACTCAGGGGCAGTACCTCTAGACTGGGGTGGTGATTCTCATTTATAAGGGATCACACTCCTCAACCTCCCTGAAAAAGTCTATGCCAGGGTCCTGGACAGGGAGGATACGGCCAATGGTTGAACCTCTGATCCAGCAGGAACAATGCAGATTTCATCCATTCAGTGGAACACTGGACCAGCTCTATACCCTCACTAGGATACCTAAGGGTTTGTGGAAGTATGCCCAACCAGTCCAGATGTTTTTTGTGAAGTTGTAGAGGGGATTTGACCATGTCCCTCATGGTTTTCTTTGGGAGTATGGGATGAGAGGTGCTCTGTTAAGGGTTGTTCAGTCTCTGTATGAATAAAGCAGGAGTTTGGTTTGCATTACTGGCAATGAGTCAGAATACTGTACATGTTGGACTTGTACTGGTCGCTCTTTGTCACTGGTTCCATTCATTATTTATCTATTCACATTTATGTACAGAATTTCTAGATGCAGCCTAGGGTCAGAGGGAGTGTGGTTCAAGGACCACAGGATTTCATCATTGCTATCTGCAGATGTTTTTATCCTCTTGGCTTCATCGATCATGGACCCTCAGCTTGCACAGGGAGTTTGCTGTTGAATGTGAGGCGGCAGAGTCAAGAATCAGCGCCTCCAAGTCTGAGGCCCAGTTTACAGTAATGCGTTTTGAAAAAAAAATGTTTTGCTTTGGTTCCGCCATCTGTCCACACTACGCCGGAGTTTTGGAGTGCCGAAATGGAGCGTTTTGGTTTTCATTTTAAAACGCTGCTGCTCCATCTCAGTGTGGATGGGGGGAAACAAAGACATCAGCTGCCGACATTTGCCTCTGATTGGGGCTTTTCCTCAGTATTAAGTAGCCTACACACACAGTTAAGTCCTGCATCCTCTCCTTGTAAGTTCATACTTCGCAAGTTTGATATGAAAAAACAGACCCCCGAAGACATGTCGGGTAAATCTTCAAAGGGAACAGTGTACTTTATAACCTCATTCACATCATCCTGGCTACATTGTTTCACTTTTTTTAACAATAAAATAAAAACATAATATGAGGAACAGCTATTTTCATTTTGATATAAACAACTTAACAGACAGCAGAAATGTTGAGGCGCTGTGTCTGCATATATGAGCGTCATCTTCACTGTATGCATATTCATAACAAAAGGCAGCTTACAACTTCACTGCCTCCTTTCATTTCCATTGACAATATGAATCATACCCTCTCTTTTGCTGAATATTAGTTTTAATAATCAATAATAGCCATTATAAAAGTATAACGTAAAATAAGTTTATACATTATAGGAAATAAAGGCAAGCAATCAGTCAATATACAGAATGTACGTGGTTCCATTAATTATTAATTTACCTTTGCGCTCAGCCAAAA